AACCATTGGCCCCAATCTCTCATGTGGAGCAATAGAGCTCTCATGGGGCAGATGAGAAGGGCTGCTTGTCTTCTTTACCACTCCGTGGCGAGATGCATGGGTTGTGCGGATACGCTGCGTAGCCACGCTCATCACTAGGTCTTATTTTGGGGGTAGGGCTTATATTGTGCAAATGCTTAGAAATCCTGCTAGGGCTTATTTTATGGGTAGGTCTTATTTTCGGGGAAACACAGTACCTCAACCTCTTTGTCCCGTTATGTTTCTATAGGACTGTCCACTCTTCATCAAACCTACTATTAAAAAACCTTATATTTGAAAAGATACTCAACATCATTAATCATTAGAGAAATTCAAATTAAAAACATGAGGCTGGGCGCGGTGGCTCACGCCTGTAATCCTAGCACTCTGGGAGGCCGAGGCGGGCGGATTGCTCGAGGTCAGGAGTTCAAAACTAGCCTGAGCAAGAGCGAGACCCCGTCTCTACTATAAATAGAAATAAATTAATTGGCCAACTAATATATATAGAAAAAAATTAGCCGGGCATGGTGTGCATGCCTGTAGTCCCAGCTACTCGGGAGGCTGAGGCAGGAGGATTGCTTGAGCCCAGGAGATTGAGGTTGCTGTGAGCTAGGCTGACGCCACGGCACTCACTCTAGCCTGGGCAACACAGTGAGACTCTGTCTCAAAAAAATAAATAAATAAAAACAAAAAAAACCTCATATTTAACTGTTTCTTCAGGTCTTCATTTCCTTTTGAAGACTCTCATGTTGCATAAAACTTATATTAAATAAGTTTGTATGCTCTTCTTTTGCTAATCTGTCTTTTGTTACAGGTGCCCTGGCTATGAATTTAGGAAGTTCAAAGCAAAAGATATTTTTCCTCTCCTATGTGAGTGAGCCAAGTTGTAAATGAGTGAGGTATTTTCCAGGCTGACACTGGCATAAGCCAAGAGAGGTAACAGCATGGGCAAGACTGTAGCATGAACCAGAAGTTCTGTTTGACCTTCAAGTCTTCTGATCTGGCTCATTCATAGGCTGTGAGGTGGGGCAGAGGAGGCGCTGCAAGAGATCTGACTCTGGGGATGAACATAGTTTAATCTGGAAACACTATACACAGCCAAGTCAAGGGGCAGCAATATAATTGAGGGTTAGCAATATAGAGTGAGGCCTTCTTAGGAAGGGCCATCAAAGTCATTGTGGAGAGTTTATCATATATGTAAATATTACATACATGTTTATGTAAACAACGGTACACACTCAGTAGGGAGCCCCTGAAACTGTTAGGAAAACTGACCGGGTAAGGGCATGCTGCATGCAATGGGGACAAGGCAAGACCAGTGGCTGGAAGACGGGTTAGTTGACTGTCGCAGTGATCTTGGAGCAGTTGATGAGGGTCTCCACCAGGATTACGTTAAGAAGATAAAGCAAAAATTATCGTCATTGTTATATAAGAGTGGCGGTGCCAGGGTTGACATGACAGGATTGGGAGCTTGATTGGATCTGATGAACATAAGTGAACAACACTCTGTTCAAAAAGGCTTTGTCTTCTTTTTCTACTCTTCCTCATCATCTCAGCACTGAAAAGAAAAATATGTCCTGGCTAATGAGCTTCAGTTTACATAACATTAGTGGGAATTTTTATTAACCAGCAAATGACAACTTCCCATTCTACCCCCTCCGTTAGGCAATGCGTTTTAAATTGAAAGAGAGGTGTTTCAGAGGCCAGTTTCACATCGCTGCTTTAATTTCTTGTTTGTCAATGTGTATAGATTTCCAATGCTGCAGAAACGGACGGCTGCTGGGCAAAGGAGCGCAGAGACGCCCGTGGTTCCCTCTAGGCTTTTGGACGAATGGTTTGCAGCTACACATAATAAACTAATTTTCTACGCCTACGCAGTTGATGGAAATGGGAATTTAGGAGTCTAAGTACGGCTGCCCAGTGCTCTGTCTTCTGCCTCCCCAGCTCCACCTGTCTTTGTACACCTCTGAAAGGCAACTATGGCTAAGATGAGGCTTACTGTATATATCAGAACGAAAAAAAATTTCAATTTAACACACTCTGGAATTATTTCAGAAGAGGAGACTCTTGAATGAATTTAGGCTTGTCTCTGAGTTTTAAGCACCAATGGAATAATTTGATAAGGTAAATTAAGGAAACCAGGAAATGTAATTCGCCCATTTCATCATCTACATTTTCAGATTAAGTGTGCAACCGCACTTAGAGGAGATGTTCGAGCTCCTTCCCGAGGGAAGTCATGTGATCTCCACCTCTCACAAATGCTCCTTTTTATATCAAAGGGCCATTTGTTAGCTCTTAACAGCAAATAGCGTACTCTATCCTCCAAATGGCCACCTGCGCGAGCCCATCGTTTAATAAAGACTAAAAAGCTCTATCAGCCAGTGATAAAGCAAGGGTCTTTGTGAGGCTGATGGGATTGGATTGTTTCAGAAAACCATCACAGGAGTATCAATTTCTTAAATGGATTACTTCGGGTTAAGGGCTATATTATAGCCTCCTTGTATTTTGGAAAAGATCTAAATCATTCCAATATCTCCTATATTAAAGTTTCTTAAATAGACCCTTGAAATACAATGAAATACTTACTAACTGCTGTGTCCCAACCATCAGTCAAAATTCTTCATCCACTTCTCCACTGCCCAAGACCCTAACCCCAACACCTCTAAGGAAGCTAACTCTCTCCCAGATGGCAGTGGCAGGTGCTAGGTTAGGGCATTTGAAAGTCACCTGAGATGTGACGAGGGATCCACTCTCCAGTTTCGCTGCTCATGCTTTAGAAGTTTTCTTTTAGGCTGAAGGAAATGTGTTTGAGGTGCAGACCCCAAGTAGCCTTTGCTGGGGCTGCCAGTGGGACGGGGCATCCACCTGGGCAGGAAGAATGAAGTGAGAACAGGGGCCTTCTTCATGCCCTACACCAATGGACCTCAGATTTCATTGTGTATCAGAATCCCCTGGACTGCGATTCCCCCCAGCCTCTCCAAGTAGGTCTGAAGAAGAGCCTAAGAATTTTCATTTCTGAAAAATTTCCAAGTGATGCTGATGCTTCTGGCCTGAGCCCACACTTTGAGGACCACAGCATCCTTTTGAGTCTGTGGCCCGCTGGGTATAGTAACCCTGGTGTCCGTTTCTCCATCTCCCTGGGTTATCATTTATTCCTAACTACTCCTCGAAGACTGCTTTTGTCCCCATCCCTGCCCGCAACAGTCATTGCCATCTCTGGGCCTTGACTTCTCCTTGACCTTACCAGACAGAGTGCCCATCCTCCTCTTTTCTGTCTCTTATCTTCCTTCTCTTCTCTACAGCTCCAGCCAAATCCCACTCTCTCCACAAACATTGCTCTAAACAGCTCAAACTCTCATTTCTCTCTTGTTTTCCTTAATTCTTCTGGATTTTGTGGTCTGTAGTAAGTCTTAATTGTTCTCAGACTGATCCATGGGCTTTCTCTCCTCAAGCAGACTGTAAGCTCCTGCAGGCAGGGGTAATTCACAGACAAGGTAGTAAGGACATTGATGTGCCAAGTGTTTACCATGTGCAAAGCTTTGCACTAATCATTTTACATATACTAACGCCCGAGTTATTACTATCATTCCCCTTTTACAAGTAAGGAAAACTGAAGAGCAGAGAGGGTGCATAATGTGCTTAAAGTCACACAGGAACACTTGGTGGGGCCGGTATGCAAGCCCTGGCCACTCGAGTTCTCTTTAACGGCTACTCGGTTTGTTGCAAGGGTGCCCTAGGCACCTCAGAACATTCAGCATAGCACCGGGCACGTTACGGCGACAGCACTCTGGAGACGGCAGCCAGGCTCCCAGAATGCAGGTTTGACTCCCGAGTGGTTACTGAAGAAGCTGAACAGACACACAGCCTCCCTTTTCTTGTGATCATTTTACTTTGATCAATGCCTTTTGCATTATCCTGAGTATACAGAGATGATGCTCCTAGAATAGGTGTGCATGGTTGCTTTACAAATAGCCCGATTGTCTTTGCACTGTGCTAGTCACCATCCTTTGTTTTCCTAGTTTCATGGGTTGATGGCCCATATTTGCATGGGCGGGAGACAGTTATGAGGCCATCCCGTGTTCACTGAACAATCTTTATGCTGTTAGATTTGCCACTCATTTGGGGCCTTCATCAAAAACCCTGAACTAGGCCGGGCGCTGTGGCTCACGCCTGTAATCCTAGCTCTTGGGAGGCCGAGGCGGGCGGATTGCTCAAGGTCAGGAGTTCAAAACCAGCCTGAGCAAGAGCGAGACCCCGTCTCTACTATAAATAGAAAGAAATTAATTGGCCAACTGATATATATATATATAAAAAAAAATTAGCCAGGCATGGTGGCGCATGCCTATAGTCCCAGCTACTCGGGAGGCTGAGGCAGAAGGATCACTCAAGCCCAGGAGTTTGAGGTTGCTGTGAGCTAGGCTGACGCCACGGCACTCACTATAGCCTGGACAACAAAGCGAGACTCTGTCTCAAAAAAAAAAAAAAAAAAAAAAAACCCTGAACTTAATACCACTGGAGAGCACACAGTATATATCAATTGCCAGATGTGAAGATAAAAAATAAACTATAACATAAAATTCATGTTTATGACTATTTTCATAGCAATATCTTTAAAAGTTAAACCAATAATGGCAATACAAAGCATTAATAATCACTATAAAATATTTACTTTGCAAACTCTGTAACAGTTCATTGTATTGCTATTCTTTTGCTCAAAAGCAAATCTTTCTTTCTCTCTCTCTCTTTTTTTTTGTTTTTTTGTTTGGGCATATCTCTTACTTCCCCCTAAGTGAACATGTTTATAAGTATGCTGAAAGCCTAAAGTATTATTTGGATAGGATGGCCTCTTTTAGCATATGAAGCCCTAACATGTATACTTTCAAAGAATGACACACATGATTTATCACACATTAAAATTCTGAATATACCATACAGTCATGCTTGTCATTATACTAATTTTTGCTTATAGGAAGTCTACTTACCTAACTCAGACTTTTTCCCCTTAAGTACTGAGGCATATGCTTTTATGTACCCTTGCTTCTTTCTATTTAAAAGAGAGAAAATCATGTCACAGGCAGAAAGCACTTAACTGAAAACCCTGATGAACCCATTTCCATCTGCATCACCTTGCAGTGTGAGCACCAGCATGCTAATGTAAACAGATGAACTCTGAGGACAATGAGTGCAATTAGCTGCATGTACAGGGGGTGTTGCAGGATGCCTGAGTCACTCTGTGTGAGCCAAATTAGGACAGCACCTCTTAGGGACCATAGGTGCAAAGACAGACCCAAGCCTCAAACACCAGGAGGTAGCTTGCCCCTAGCCCTAGAAGAAGGCAATAGAGAAGTCACACTGGTGACAACAAACAGAAGTGAGCAGGACGTGCTGATGTGAGAAAAGTCTCGCTCAAAGATGCAGTGAGGCATGTGCTGTAAATGCCAGGTCTCAATAGGCCAGTCCCAGCTTTGGGGTGGCGGGGCTGTTGCTCCCTCAAGCTTGTTGCCTGCAGAGCTATATTTTTGGCCTCATTTACTAAGTAGACTGTCCTTAGCAGCCTCTAAGCCTACTACTGCCTTCCACATACACACATGGATGGTCCTTTTTCACTTACCTATGCTGGTGTGTGAGAGGGCTAAGGACAAATAATTGACCCCAAACTTTATATTCCTTTACTTTGGCACTTTCCCTGTGCTTTCTTGTGTTGGTGTGTTTGCTGTAGAAATTGCAAGAACCTAGAAGTCCTAGAACGCTTGCACCGAAGAGACTTACAGGTTTCTCTCTGGAGGTCCTTGGTAGGCTGGGTCCATAACTGGGTCTCTCTTCTTAACCAGAGCATCCAGCTTCCCCTGGAAACATGATAGTCTTTGATTTATAACACAAAGGCTTTTGTCTAGCTGCATGTAGTTTCCGGTCAATTAGCTGTTCTTTCTCCCTTCACCCCAGGTCCATTTCAGAAAACCAGGTTAGCTGTAAATGTGGTGATTATTAGGAGCAAACTGTGCAGGTGTGGCTGTGTGTGCAAATTTAGAAACATTGCCGCTTTCCTCCAAAGCTATTTCTTCCTGCTTGAATCAAGAGGAGGAAAATTGCTCATTTCTTGGTTGAAATCATTTCTGTCATTTTACGATGTACTTGAGACTGCTGCAAGCAAATGTGTAGGTTTTTACTGAACTCTGTCAGCTTTTAGAGCTGAAGATTTCAGAAAGCCGCTCCAGATCTCAGGCTTCTAAAGAAACTGCCAGTGAGATCAAAGCTGCTATATCTGGCTCAAGCATCATATCCCAGGCGCCTGAGTGAGTTTTGAGCAAGAAATAATGTAATAGAAAAAAAAAAAAAAAGCCTGCACTTCTGCATAGCAGACACTCACCAATTAACTGAATGACAAATGCTTTTTGCCAGAGTGATCTTGTCCTTGGCATAAAGATGTTTATTTATCAAATACTCTTTGGTTTTGTTTTGATTTTATTTTCCATTAATATATAGGGAGGTAGTTCTGGGTGGTCTGTTGATTAATCATCCTCATTGTGATATATCTACCCCCCTTCTTTTCTGTGCCTTAGAGGAAAACAGGGGACCTCATTTTCCAGTTCTTTTCCCATAAGCCTCCAGGTTAGATATGGCCAGTGAGAGGCCCCCCCGTGAGATGTCTGAGGCAGTAAAGGAGAAGCCATTTTTCTTGGGCGCCAGCTACAGGCAGTTACCCAGATCCTTGGCTTCTCGAAGTCTTCCTGAAAAACACCCACTATGGGCAACTTGATCACATCAGCAGCTCCAACTTCCCTTGAGATCGCTGTACTTCCAGACACTCTAACAGCAACCTTTGACTTTTATTTACCCAGCCCTTCTAATGGTCGTGGAAGCCTCAATTCCTCTGTCAAATCTCCCTCTCTCTAATCAAACAACCTAGAATGGTTTCTATTTTGTGATCAAACCCTGACTGATACATGGGCAAAGGATTCATTTTTCTCATGGCTCCCTTTCCTTATCATACAGGTAGAGACATGAGTCGGTGAGAAAGTACTTACTGAACGCACACAACTACCATCGCAGAGTGATGGGTATAAGGACACACATAAAGATAAAGTCCCCACCTTTAAATAGTTGCAAATAAGATAGAGATATAATAATAACCATGGATACATAAAATGTATACGTAAACACAATAACTAACTAAAAGCGTGTGCCGAGGGAAGATTGAATCAGGAAAACTTTCAGAGGAAAGAAAATCACTAGGAGATCTCCTCTCTTTCCAAATTCTTCTTCCAGGCAAATGCTCAGTGGAAGGGCTTCATGGACGTGTGCTGTGGTCCACAGCTGCATCCCGAGCTGCTCTTATATGACATCCAGCAGGGCAGCATCCTCGCTGAAGGCCTGGGGCACAGGAGGAGGGAAGCCTGTGAACAACAGCCAGAAAAAAGTGGTGTGTTTAATTTTCTGTTGCTTCCTGCACAAGGTGGATCTGGGGAGGATTCGAGGATGAAAATAATGGTCAGGAATAGTTCCGTTAAAGGAGGTATCTGTCAGTTGGAAGGATTTGGGCTTCAAGAGACCGAAAACACTGACCTGAACTGGCTAAAAGTCCATGGAATGGAACATATGCACAATCAGAGGCTCGGTGATGCCAACCACCCAGCCTTTCCCATCCTCTGCTCTGCTGTCCTTAGCCTCAGTTCTATTTTCAGGCTATTTTCCTGAAGCAAGACGGCTGCAGCATTCCCAAGTGAACATTGGGTACCAAAAAGAAGCATGGTTTCTGGTGTTTGTGTCTTTAGAAACAGAGAAAACTTTCTCCTAAATCCCTCCAGCATTCCAACTACTTTGACGTGCCCCATTGGCTAGCAGTGGGTCACCAGCCCATCCTAAACCTATCATTGGAAGGAGAATGCGGCCATAGCAATTGGCTTAGTTCAGCCAGGATTTAACCCTGCAGCTGGGATAGGTCCCCTGCTTTGAGTCGTGGTGGAGTGGGATGGGCGCCTGATACTGGGGCTTTGGAAATAGGAAATAAGGAGGGGAGGTGTATACTGGTTTCTCTGGAAACTGATCAAAAAGGTAGTTACTTCTTATAACAGGAAGCCAGGAGGGACCCTAGACTTGCCAGAATCCATGTTGTTCATGACAACTGCAGACCTTTGGGGAGTTTCTGTAGGACTCACATTTTATTTTGTATACCACACTCAACTGTGCTTGGATTCAGTCGTACTCTAGATAAACTTTCATTCAGCTATTTCTGGGATTCTACTTTCAGTCTTGATTTTAATGAGAGGAATGCTTCTTTACCAAGACAAAAACAGGTTCAGAAGAGAAGCTCAACATTGCATAGAGGTCCTAGAATTTCATGATTGTGCTTAGAGTGAGCTGAGCCCCATGGGTGGGAAATTTGAGGTTTCAGGATTGAGGAGCAATCTGAAAATATTCCCACCATCCATAATATGCATGCAGAGACCTTTCCATAGATGAGACAATGCTAGGCCTGGCAGACCCGGAAATGATCTGGTGTGGTGTTTTCTAGATGTTACTGAGTTTTCTGCAAGAAACCCCAGTGGTCCCATAGTTAACTAGGTTGGGAAAATGCTGGGTTAACCCTTTGCACTCGCTTGCTTTTTTCTTATTATCCACTTGACATTATCCACACTCGACATCCGAGTGCAAAGGGTTAAACAAAGTAAAACAAGCATACCTACTTTAGGACCTCTCAGAGCTTTTGATATAGTGCCACAAATTGTGGCTTTCCAAAAGGGGACATTATATTTAGTGTTTCTCAAACATATTTGACCACAGAGTACAAAATGGAATATGGTGAGACTGACGTGTAGAAACCACTCTGGGGAAGGCTGCTCTGGCTCTTTCATTTTACAGCTAAATAAACTGAGGACCTGTTAGCTGAAGGGACTTGCCTGAGGCTATCCCATTAGCCAGGATCCCTCAAGAAATAGATGGAATAACCAAGAGTTTAACATTTAAAAAACAAACAAACATAAAGCAATGACCTTAATGTGGGCTGAATTAGGGAAGCCAACAAAGTCTGGTGAGATACCCAGGGAATCACAGCTGCAAGAAGCCATTGATTGCCACTGGAAAGCTAAAGAGGAAAGAGGCCGGGCACAATGGCTCACATCTGTTATCCCAGGACTTTGGGAAGCCAAAGTGGCAGGATTGCTTGAGGCCAGGAGTTTGAGACCAGCTTGGACAACATAGTGAGACTCTCATCTCTACAAAAATTAATACTAACCTGATGTGGTGGCACATGCCTGTAGTCCCAGCTACTCAGGAGGCTGAGGCAGGAGGATCACTTGAACCTAGGAGTTTGAGGCTGCAGTGAGCTATGATCTCTGCACTGCATTCCAGCCTGGATGACAGAACAAGATGCTGTCTCTAAAAACAAACAAACAAACAAACAAACAAACAAACAAACAGAAATGGGAAAGAGAAGGAACCTCCAAGCTGAGAGCTGGAGCCACAGAAGAGGAGCTGCCTGTCGGAACTATGACGTGATAGGGAAGAGGGGGATAAATACATGATCTCAACTTCTCTTCCCTTCTGTCCTCCCATATCTCAGTGGTGCAGCCCACTAGCCAGACCCCCTGTACGACAGCGGGCACGGAGCCTGGTGACACAGTCTGCACAGGTCAGCCCCCCTGGCACAGAGCTGACCAGAGGAGGTGATGAAGCACCTGCAGGATGATCGCATAGCTAGTATTTTGCTTGTTTTCATTTTTTAAAAATGTTTATCTCATATAGTTCATAAACTTATTTGAGTTGGCTTAATGAAATCTAATGCAATGTGAAACAGGGAAAAGATAAAAACTCTGGTTCTCAGAATATGGTCTGGTGTTTTCTAGGGGTGCTTGAGACCTTTTCAGATCCGCAAGGTCAATTTATAATAATATTATGATGTAATCCAGCATTTTACTTTCACTCTTTCACAAGCAAACCGTGGGTTTTCCAGAGGCTTCATGATGAGTGATAATGTCATTGTTCTGATGGCCAATGGAATGTGTAGCTATGTATGTGCATCCCGAAGGGCAAGGGGATACATATGAGGTTATTTAGTCCCTAATATATGTCTTTGAATTTGTTAGACTCTATTTTAGTAGTTTCCTAAGCTCTCTTCCTGAAAACTGTTGAGAAAAAAAGACGATTGGATTTTTAAAGGATATTCTACAGATGAGGTGGAGTATTGAAGGAATTTTCTAGAAACAAACTAATCTGTAACTTGGGGGTGATAAAGAATTTCCCTCTGTAAAGATGGACGAGGCCACTTTTATGCCCATGATGCAAAAACTATACCTGTAGAATTAATCTGGGGACGTTAACTCATCAAGAACATGAAGGTCATCATTTTGGGAAGGGGGGTACTCTTTTGAGAGGCTCCTCATGCTCTGTACATTTTGCTGTCAAAAATGTAGATTGAAGATGAGGATGGAGCTAATGAAGATGAAGAAAATGATAACCCTCTAAAAGGGTCAAAATCCTAAATCTTAATAGCTGTCTTTGCTAATACCTTGTTCCCGACCAAGTCTATTCGATCTGAGATTCAGGATTGGCCTCCAAATGTAGGGGAGAGAATGAAGTGCAGGAGGGGGTACTGCTAGGTTAGGGATGCCTTGGAGGAAGGCAGAGGGCCCCAGAGGCAGCCTTCACCTAATGTAAATGTCTCCCAGGGTGGCTGCTATTTTTGTTCCAAATAGTTTGTTTATGGCAAAAGTGGATGTTTTCGTAACAATCCTCAGGAAATAAGAAACACAAAAGTCTGTCTTCAATTTCCATTATATCCTGCAATTCAAATCAGTCTGGATGCATTTGTTTTGGGGTTTATTTTTTTTTGGAGGGGGGAGCAGTGTCGTTTAGATATAATCAAGCAAATCAATATACAAGTAATTACCATATATTAACATGGCCATTTATTAACAAACTCAGTTATAAGACAGAACTAAACTCTGGTAAAAATTTTAAAACCTGTAATAAATTCAGTCAATATCAGCAGTCATTATTTAGAATCTAAATTTGTAGATATATTACCATGGTATCTTGAAAGAAATTTATATTAATTGAGTGGCTATTTTTCATGCTAATAAAGTATGTAAAATTCAATATTATAAGTGGGAATGTGGTAGAATTTATAAAAGCAATAAATCAAAATTGTTTTTTTCTAATCCTTTTATAAAGAGTTGAAGATAATCTGCTAATATGTTCCTGTGAGTCCCACATGATTGTTTCATTTGCCTCCTTGCTAATCAAAAATTTTTAAAAGCTACTCTAAGATTGATTATCTTAATGATTTTTTTCTCTTCCTCCATTTAAATGTGTTTTTTCAAAAAAGCAGCCGTGGAACTAAAGGTAGGTGAGTCAGTTCTAACAAGGATACTAGGATGCTACAGTAATTAAACTATTGTACTGCCACCCCTCGAGCTATAATTTAAAAGGATGAAAGCTTAATTTTTCCATCAACAAAGTCAATTTCATCCAAGCTGTTGTTTGTTGTACCACATGCATTTAAAAATTACATGCTTAAACTAATCAGCAGCAAACATAATTTAAACCTTTTATCACAATCACATCGATGGATTCTAAATGTATAGAGCATTTTCACTATAGAAAATAAGACTATTCAAAACATTATCTAGAAGTCATCAGGCAAACAGAGCAGTATAGATATAAAATAGCCACTATGTGAGCTTACGGTACAAAGGTCTCTAATAAATTAGAGTAAATAGCAGCTGAACTGTCCTCACCGTGGTTTATCTGCCCACCCTAGCAAGGAAAGAAAGTTAGCATTAATTGGTACGCGATAGGCTCTCTCAAAGGAACAAGCACTTAGAGCAATTAAGTCAGATGCAGAAAAACAGCTCTGCACTGGAAAGCTGACAGCAGGACTCCCGCACAATATACGTAATGAGTGGCTGAGGACTTTAATGGATGGAGGCTTGGAGACTAATGGACAATTAATGTAAAACAGATGACTTCCCTTGGAGATGACAGTCTTTTGAAAGGCGCTTCACCTGCTGCTCAAACAAATGCGGCTAAAGTGAAATGAAAAGAGGAACGTGGTCTCATTGAACTGGATTAGAGCTAGTATTTGTGTCCCTGCTTTCTCCTTGAATATTTTCAAAAACTAGGTCAGGAATTTAACAGTTCCCCACAGCTGGCAGTGCAAGCCCCCTCCCTTGGCCTCCCGCCAGCCAGGGTGGCCTCAGAGCGCTCACTGTGCCTCTCAAGCCCTTTTCTGAGGAGCTGCCCTGGAGGCTCACCTCA